GTTTCCAGAGTAAGGCTATACAATATCAAATTATTAGTTTAAGCATATTATACTCAGTTTGATAACTGTTTATTCTCTTGAGTCTCGAGGCAGGTGCGTCAGGCATTGTTTCCAACTATAGTGATTCTGCCTCTTAAGCTTTGGCAAAAAAAATAAAGCGAGTCTGGAGCAGTATCCTTGGATATATTTGACCCAGGTTATTCTTCGCCGTTCTCTGGGTCTTCCACTGGTCTACTGAACAAGTAGAGCTGTTTCGCCTTCCTTTCTGAAAGCATTCTCACCATGTTCCCACACAATCGCAGCTTTAACTTATAAATTCGGAGAAGTAGCAGGCGCACACTCTTTGATATTTGTATTCTGGACCATGTCGACAGCTCAGCGATTCGTTTCAGAAACTTAATTTAAGTCGCTTTTACCTGGATCGCTGTTTCTCAATTGCAACCCGCAACGTGACAGTAGGCGAGCTTCGACTTGAACACGAGGTCTTAGTCCTCAGACTCACTTCTGCTTTAGTCACAACGGTTCACGTTATTCCACGCAGAACGCCACTGGCTACTCCAATCCGTCGGTCGATCACTTCCTCCAATTTTCCATCACTAGTAAATACAGTTCCGAGGTACTTGAACTTCTCCACCTGCTCCACCTTCTCTCCCTTCATCTGAACCGAGCAACTGCCAATAGAATGAGAAAGCGCAGCCTTTTCGTTTTAGACACATTGACAAGCGTGCCGGACGGCTGCGAACGTTTCCAGTCGCTGATCCAACGCTAGAGATAAGTTTCAGAAGAAGCATACGAAACTCCGGTCCTCAGTGAACAGCAAATTACTCATTTCCATACCTCCTATGCTGATACACAAGTAGAAAAGGGAGAGAACGAAGCCCTGGAGGAGAGCAGTGTAAACACTGAAACGTATCGACTTAACGCCGTCTCGGACGCAGCACCAGCTATCAACATATAGTGACAGGATGGTTCGCAGTAACTGCCCATCGACCGTATATATTTGTAGGCACACCCACAGATTGTTTGATGGAATCCGATCATAGGGTTTCTCCAGGTCCACACAACGCATGTACACCTGCTAAGCGAACTACCACGATTTCTCACCAATCTTGCCTAAGGTTAAGGACTGGTCTTAGTGCAGGTGCTTTGACCTGATCTCAAATCACATTGTTCGTCTTGTAACTTAGAGTCAGTTATTCAGTGATACCTCCTTTGAAACACCCTTGTAGAGACTTTGCACTGGAGACTCAATATTCCGATAACTGAAGCACTCCTGATGGTTCTCTTTTCTGAACGTGGGTACAACAGCCGTTCTTAAGTCCGCTGGTGTCTTTCCCGTAGCCATTGCAGTTTGGCAGGCACGTATTAGCCATAAAATGCCTTGTTCGCTTAAGTTCTGAGCATTTCAGGACGGATGTTTTCGATTCCACCAACCTCGTCACTTTTCAAAGTTTTCACAGCGTCTGTGACTTCATCCTGCTGCAAGACTAATGTTCGTTTCCTGCTCCTTTTTCGGGAAGTATTACTCAAAGTGTGGTTGTTCTGACTTAAGTAGTTCCTCAAAGAACTGCCTCCCTCGCCGAAGTATGTGATACTCATTGGTAAGCGGCAGCCCGGTAATGTCATTCGCGACGTTTCGAATGACTTTCCTTCCGTCTCACAGGCGACGGATGGTCTGCCAAAATACCTTGTTTGCGTCTGAAAATTCGGCTTCGTATTAAAGGTACTATTTGAATTCCTTGCGCAGGTTGAAAGTATTTCACGGCATAAATCTCAACCGCATATGCATTCTATCAAAATATTTCCTGTCAACACAATGCGCTTGTTATTTAGTGTCTCATGAAGATGGATCCAGCTCGATTGAAACGTGGGCAACTGATGCAACAAAATTTATACATGCGGTCTAACCCCTTTGAAGATCATGGCGATAAAAAATTCCATTGTAGGAATAGACGCAGTTCAACTTGAAACGTCATTTGCTAGCTGAACTCAATTTAAGCCATACTCGGAGGTCGGCTGCTGACTCGGCGAAGTCCTCTGACTGGTTACTTGAAAAGAATCACAGTGGTGCAGCGGTCCTCCATTGACCAAGTGCATTTGATGATGATGATGATGATGATGGTGGTGTGCTCACTGATGTTGCCATCGCTATCGAAAGCTAACAGTGTCTGAGTAGAAAAGGAACCCAGGATTATAATGTTCTAGTTATCAAACTTTTGGCTTATTTGTATTAAGTCACGTTCTCTGTTGAAGCTAAGGTCAAATTCCTTGTCATATTTATATTATAAAAACTTCTGATTCGCATTTCCGTTGCTCACACCGGATGCAGATGGCGATAGTCTTGCTTTTAATCACTTATTTCGATCGCTCTAAGCAGGAAAATCATGGCTCCATGGTACTTGTAAGCTTGCAGTGCGTCGGATACAAAACTGCATCTTTGAGTTGGGCTGAAAAGTGCACGTTAGAACACAAACAAGATTTTCCACTATCCATAGGCAAATATATAGACAAAATACGATAAAACATTACCCGACTGTTCCGGGGAAGCTGCCGTGAATGGAAGCTTTTCATGCGCCGGCAGAAGAGGTATCACTGCATAAGCAGTTAGCATGAACTGTACCCTGTGCAGCTCAGTGAAGGGTGACAGACGATAGGAAGTCCTTTCATGTGAAGTTCAAATGAGCCAACTCGGTGCATGGGGATACCACAAGCAATACCAACGTCGTTCCAGCGCGAACTGAGATCTATCACATGTCAATGCAATCTGCAATCTTTCATCTTTCCTGTCCGGGATACAGAAATACGACAAAACAAATATGTACCATCCCAGCGGTAAGGTTCCGCTCGTTAAGGACTTTTGGTAACACAGTGCACAATGCATGCTACGGCGGAAATGCGTCTGTGCCGATAGGAATAGAAATGTGCTTTTTCTTACAAATCTGACCAATGTCAGGACTTACGTTGTTTCGAATCACTTCAGACATCGAAGACTTACGAGGTCGAACAAATGTTTGAACTTAGGCGAAGTGTGATTAAACTGAGGCAAATTTGTCACCATCGAAACATGGCACGCCGGTGAGGTTAGTCAAGAGTTGGTTGTCTATTTACCTTCGAAAATACGATGCTTTGAAACAGTTTCGCAGTGAATTCGGCCGAATCGCAGGGGCCGGCGACGGGTGTCGTTGTTGCGTTTAAGAAACGGGAAAGGAAAAGGAAGTTTAGGAGAAAGAGTTTCATTATTGAACTTGATTAACATTCAATTATAGATTCATCATACGTCGACGTTTCAGTAAAATGCGAGCGGCCGCCGGAGATACCTTTCACTAAGCACGACGCGCCGGAACACCAGAGCTTGTTCAATTTAGACACTTTGGTTCATTACACGTGCATCAAAGGCTTCTACAGACAAACCGATTTAGGACTTCCGAAAGCGAAGTGCCTGATGTACAACGGCAAAGCTCGCTGGTTCGGACCGGACATACAGTGCCACGGTAAGCACCGAGATGCGTGTTATACGCGCCGCTCGAACGGACCGATCCGATCGCCATGCTCATGAGGATCGTACAGCTTTCAGCTGCGGACGACCGACTGAGGTGACGAACGCGATCATGGACGGCAGCGTATTCACGTACCCTCATTCGGTGCGCTACCGTTGCATCGACGGCTTCGAGATCGTCGGCGACGCCGAGCGATGGTGCCTGGTCGACGGTCACTGGAGCGGAGACAAGCCTTTTTGCAAACGTAACGTACATCTGGCTGCTGGCAGATGGTTGTAGTGTAACGAAGCGCTTTTCAAGCTATCCAGTGCGTTCGACCGAAACCGCCGCTCTATGGCCAAGTGCTCGGCACGTCGCTCGAGTTCCAGGCGAAAATCACGTACGTCTGTGACGAGGGCTACCGCCTGGTCGGACAGGTGCAGCGCATATGCCAATCGGACACGACCTGGAGCGGCCACGAGCCGTACTGTGAAGGTAAGTGTCGGCTGACCTGCCGGCTGGGCCCGCTCTATTTGACTTGTTAACTCACTTTGACCTCAGAAATACGCTGCCCGTCTCTTGGCCTGCTGTGGAACGGCTTCATCGATGGAGACGATACGTCGTTCGGCGCCATGGTCATTTTTCGCTGTCTCGAGGGTATGACTCACATCGGAGCGCCGTATGCCAAATGCCAGCGTGACGGTACATGGACACATCCCCTGCCCAAATGCATGGGTAAGCAGATGCACGCGGACGCGATTGATCGGTCGATCATCAGGTGGTCAAACGGTAGGCCAATGTGTGCCTCGTCGTTATTTAGGCACTGGGTTTTCGATTATTGTACGTCAGGAAAAATCAATTCCGATTTTACACGAAATGCGTATTTAATAATAATTATCGCATATTAAACATAAGGTTAACGTATGGCGTTCATGGATAAATGAATAAAATGAACTGTCTTCGGAAATAAACTAGTTTTTCGTCTTTTCACCAGTACAATTAACATCAATGCCTCCTCTCGCTGTCAGTCCCTGATTGCGCTCTTTAG